ATTGAGATAGAAATGAAAACAGCAAAGAGATACTGACAACTGATATGCTATGATCTTGCTTAACACTTTATTATCACAGGATCGTCATCCAGTGGCTATTCGCATCAAACAATAAGAGTTCTCGGACATGGAATATCAGGACACTAAATTTATGTGCCCAGTTAGATAATATAAAGCAGGAAATGAACAGGTTAAATGTTAATATTTTAGGCGTGTGTGAAACGAGGTGGGAAAACAATGAAGAATTAATCTGTGACAAACGCAGGTTCATATATTCAGATGGAGAGAAAAATGAAAGATTTGTTTCTTTGTTTTGGTTTTACGGCATATCAACCTCAATGGGTTATTTAATGCCGACAAAATTTTTTATTGTTGATAATATTTTTTTTAAATCTATTTCTGGTAATATTTTTCTTTCAAAAATTCCATTTCTGGTAATAATTTTCTTTCAAATATGTATCGCTGGTAATATTTTTCTTTTTTTTCAAAAAATGTATAGCTGGTAATATATATTTTTCTTTTTCTTTTTTCCAAAAATATATTGCTGGTAATATTTGTTTTTTAAAAAAGCATTACTGGCAACTTTTGTTTTTCAAAAATGCATTGGTGGCAATATTTGGTTTTCAAAAAAGAAATTGCTGGAAACATTTGATTTTCAAAAATGTATTGCTGGCAACATTTGGTTTTTAAAAATGTATTGATGTTAATAATTTTTTACCAAGCATTTCTGGTATTAAAACCTATTTTTACACTTTCATATGTTTTGACCCCAGTTACAATTCCATTGAATAAGGTTTTTTTTAAAAAACGTATAGCTAGCAATATTTTTCTTTTTTTTAACGTATACCTGGCAATATTATTTTTCAAATATGTATAGTTGGTAATATTATTTTTCCAAAAATGTATATCTGGTAATATTATTTTCAAAAACGTATAGCTGGTAATATTATTTTTTTCTAAAACGTATAGCTGATAATATCGTTTTTCAAAAAAGCACTGCTGGCAGCATTATCCTTTCGAAAGCATATAGCTGGTAATACTATTTTTCCCAAAACGTATAGCCGGCAATCTTATTTTTTCGAAAACGGCCTTTCTGTTGAACGTAGTTTATCGGCATACCCAGAATGTGGATGCAATTTATCACCGTACCCAGTGCCCGGATGCAGTTTATCGTCATACCCATGGACTCTGATGTAGTTTACCGTCATACCCATGGACGCAGATGTAGTTTATCGTCATACCCAGGACGTAGAAAAATGAAAGAGGAGTAGAACTGTTATTAGATAACGGCAAAAAGCGACAGCAAATATTCCTGTGGCTATGGCCCGTGACCCTTGCTGTTGTATAACATATGGACATGTATGCAGGTCCCTAGTGGAATTGAAGTGTCACATATGACACAAACATAAAAACTGAATGACGAGAGGGTACATATATATATATATATATATATATATATATATATATATATATATATGTTCCTCACTCTATGATGCAATTTTGAGTTTCATCGTATGTCCGTTAAATCAGAAATTTAGAAGTTTTTAAAAAATTATTTTTAAAGAAAAGTAAAATAAAAAATATATATTTAATAATTTCTCCCTAAGCAAGGAGAGAATGCCACTAAGACGCAAGAGGTTACTGAGAGTGAAAGAAAATGAGATGTCGTTAGTGAGGAGACAGGACAATAAAAGAACAGGCTTCAGTAAGACAGAAGTGCCGGTTGATGTTGCATTTAAATTTTTGAATGTCGTAAATGGAAAAGAAGCAAGAAACTAGAAGAGAGTTCCACAGGTGAAAAGTGCGAGAATAAAAACTATTAGAATAGAAATTCATGCGGTATATGTGCCAAAGAGAAAAAACTCATTAGAAAAAGACGGAGGGAAGCCACGTCACGTTGGTGGGAAAGTGGCAAGTGGAGATGCCAGATCAGGAAGGATAACATTACAGACCCTTTGGCTTTTGTCTAGAATCTCGAGAAATATTGCAGCTGCACCAGACCAGATATGCCATTAACATTTAATGCACAGATGAATCAGAGATTTATGAATATGCAAGACAGATTCTCTCGGCAAAAATTCTTTGGCATGATATAAGAAATCATTTTTCCTGACAGCAGGCCTAGCAATTGATTCAATATAATCGCACAACTCCATGTCAGTGGAAAACGTGAAACCGAGAAGGCGCATTGAGTTGCCCTTCGGGAGGTTAGCATCAGCCATGCTGATGGAAGGCTTAAAGAGTTCTCTATGATGACTATAAAGATAATAGTTTCGTTTTGGAAGCATTAAAGTGTACAATACAGAACAGGATTCAGGAAGACAAAGATGGTGATTGATATTGCGTTTAAAGGGAAGCAAGTAACCGGAAGAGGGTTCCATAGGTGAGAGGTGCGAACAAAGAAACTGATAGAATAGAAGCTGCATCTAACTCAGTTAACAGTAAAACAGTGAGACCTAACTGGCAATCGAGTAACATGCTTAAATTCATTGAGTCAAGACTCTATAAGGAGAAAAAGCTCTTTAGAACAATTGCCTTGAAAATATTTGTAGAAAAGACAGGGATGCCAGGTTACATCGGAGGGAAAGTAACTGATGTATAGATATCAGGATTGATAATATTACAGGCCCCTCTTTGGATTTTGCCAAGAATCTAGAAATGCACAGCAGGAGCACTAGAACAGATATGGTAACAATATTCAATACCCTGGCGAATGGTGGATTTATAAATGTGGATTCTGACGAGAAGTCTTTTCTGGAACGACATAGTGAACAAAATTCCCTAGCAGTAGACGAAGCAAGTGATTCAGTATAGTCTCTCCACTTCATGTCAGTGGAAAACATGAGACCAAGAAAGCGTAGTGTGTTGCTCTCCTGGGCTCTACCATCGGCCATGTTGTCGGCAGGCAGAACAGGGTCTCCATGGTGATTAAATGAAACCATTTTTGTTTAGAAGGCGTTTTATCCTTTTATAAATTTAAATCTTAAGTCTGTCATTTTACATCGATCACTATTTCATTATTACCACCAGCACTGGGTGTGCGATATTTTATATCTCATAAAGTATGTGTAATGTATTTGAAGATATGTGACATGTACGCCTGCAGCTATATGATAATCAATTAAGGTACTTTTATCTTTTCAGAGCATCAATGGCGAAGCATCTGATAACGCAAAGGATGAAACGACATGATGTAATTGTTGCGATACACGCAAAACAGCAATGTCGAGATTACATGTTATTTCTTTTAAATCTCCAGGTCGTTTATGCACAAGATACGGAAGGATATGTAAGGCTCCTGCGGGGATTTGTCGAAACAAAAAAATAAAGAAGTTATTCACAGCATGCCGACAATCTCAAGGCACCATGATTCGTACAGTGGCTGAATAACATTATCGATGCAAATCTCGCAATATCCATAATGACAAGAGATTACTAGGTATCCGAAGGCACAATCCTATGTGGTGTATGAGGATATTCGGTAAATGTTTGCTCTGAGGAAAATGATTACCGAACATCCAGAAGAGCCTGGTATGGTCTGTTTGTGTACTATTTACATTATTCGGACTATTGTCCTCATCTTTGTCGCCATATTTATTACAACGTTTCGGCCTTTCAGTATCTGTCTATATTTCTGAGATGAGGTATTATGTACACTATTTACATTATTCGGACTATTGTCCTCATCTTTGTCGCCATATTTATTACAACGTTTCGGCCTTTCAGTATCTGTCTATATTTCTGAGATGAGGTATTATGTACACTATTTACATTATTCGGACTATTGTCCTCATCTTTGTCGCCATATTTATTACAACGTTTCGGCCTTTCAGTATCTGTCTATATTTCTGAGATGAGGTATTATGTACACTATTTACATTATTCGGACTATTGTCCTCATCTTTGTCGCCATATTTATTACAACGTTTCGGCCTTTCAGTATCTGTCTATATTTCTGAGATGAGGTATTATGTACACTATTTACATTATTCGGACTATTGTCCTCATCTTTGTCGCCATATTTATTACAACGTTTCGGCCTTTCAGTGTCTGTCTATATTTCTGAGATGAGGTATTATGTACACTATTTACATCATTCGGACTATTGTCCTCATCTTTGCCGCCATATTTATTACAACGTTCTGGCCCTTCAGTATCTGTCTATATTTCTGAGATGAGGTATTATGTACACTATTTACATTATTCGGACTATTGTCCTCATCTTTGTTACCATATTCATTACAACGTTTCGGCCTTTCAGTATCTGTCTACATTTATGAGATGATGTATTATGTACATTATTTACATTATTCAGACTAATGCCCTCATCTTTGTTGCCATATTTATCACAACGTTTCAGCTGTTGTACGTTCCGGCCTTGTTCAGGTGATTAGAATGTCGAACTGAACCTTTATTTCGCTCGCCGCTGGGGGTAGACTGTTCTAGTTCCACGTCTAATGGATGTCAGTTATCGGTTATCTCTTATTAATTCCCCGCCGTCTTAACCAGGTATTGTCCTGTCACTGGATCGAACTAACGCCTTTATCCACAGTGACATGTGTCCTTGAGGATATCTGTGTGAATTTCTGGGTATTATAAAAACCTAATGTCTTCTGCAACTATTTTTTACCAGTGCTCATATTGCAATTTTGCTGTTAATATTATGTTTTTTACCAGAGCTCATATTGCAATTTTTGTCGTTTTTTCTCTGTCACTCCTTATTACTGGTTCCCATATTGTATTCATTTCTATGCTTGGTCGGCTCAGGAGATTTGTTTGTTTGTTTTTATTATTATTTTTTGTCTTTCCAAACGAAAAAGATTTCGTCCATGAGAAAGAAAAATTAACAAGTGGTTATTTACGAATTTTCTGATATCTCCCATGTTGTGGAAACCAAGTGTCCGCTTCTGTCATGATTTGGGGTATGCAGAGTAGTGAAGGATACGTCATACCACACATAAATTCTTTCAACAAGGTCTTCGGTTGGATTACCCACTATAATGTCCACTCTCAGTACAGACCACGTGATGCATACAATGACAACCATTCTGGTTCAACTGGGAAGCCGTCATTGCAGCTGAATGCGATTACATCAAATAAATATGGAATTCAACGATTACTGCATCTGTGTAGCAAATTTTATGTCAATAAATTTTGTTGTTTGTAAGATGTGCTTATTTTTCTTACGGGTTTACCATCTCTCTTTCTTTCTCTCTCTCTCTCTCTCTCTATATATATATATATATATATATATATATATATATATATATATATCAAATTCAACATTGAAGTCAATACTCAGAGGCGACAGGTTGTTTCATGCTAGACGCAATCGTCAGGCCTTTTATATTTATATTTACATACGCTCTATCTCAGATATTGAGCGCATTATCCCATAAATGTAGCACGCCTTAAAACTATATTTTCTCATATATATATTTATATATATATTTATATATATTTATGCATATTTAAACTACAATTCCCCATGAAAAACAGTACAATCGACCTTGCTCACCGAAACGCTCCTCTGTGGCTCAATCGGTAAAAGCACGTCAGGCTATATGACGGTTCCGTATAGGATACAGGTTCGATTCCTTTCGGAGGACGCATGAAAATTCTATGAAAATTTCTCGGACATTCAGGCCGGTACATGCCGTTAATACTGTTTATTATAAAAAGAGCATTTTCTTAAATATTTGTATCTATAAAAAGAACGTATAAACATAAATTTTTTTTTAAATAATTGTCGGATATTGTCCATTTCATTATATATATATATATATATATATATATATATATATATATATATATATATATATATATATATATATATATTAAGAAATGGACAAAGTCCGACAATTTATTTATTAAAGACATTTTATGTTTAACGTTCTTTTTTTTTAGATACAAGTATTTAAGTAAATGCTCTGTTTGTAATAAACAGTATTAAATAACATTTACCGGCCTGAATGTCCGAGAAATTTTCATAGATATAAAAAAATATAAAAAAAAAAAAAAAAAAAAAAAGAACGTTAAACATAAAAATGTCTTTAATAAATAAATTGTCGGACTTTGTCCATTTCTTAATATATGACGTCATTTGTTTACATTTGATACGCCAGAGCAGTTATGAATGTACGAGATTCATGGAAGATTGAAGTTTATAAGCAGTAAATTCGATCTTGCCTACCGAACACTCCTTTGTGGCCGAGACGGTAAGGCACGTCAGCGTAAATGACCGTATATTTTCCTGTCAAAGGACGACATTCACATTCAGGCCGGTAAATGTTATTTAATACTGTTTATTATAAACAGAGCATTTACTTAAATACTTGTATCTATAAAAAAAAAAAAAAAAAAGAACGTTAAACATAAAAATGTCTTTAATAAATATATATATATATATATATATATATATATATATTATATTACATTCACTTACGTGCTCATAACCTTGGGAAAGGTATAAATTCTCTTCTCCCACCAGCAGTGGGTAAATAGCAGGATAGACTAGATTCTATAGCCTTGGATGGCAACTGGTCTAGGAGAAGGACAATTCAAAGCCTATGAAGGGTCGTTTGGGGACCTTGTGGCACGTAGTGCAGCAGATCTCTGTATTCGGCCTTTCAAAACCTGGGGTTGGTTCTGCTCCAAGCATTCATCACTATAATCAAATCATATGTGCTGGTGTCTGGGCTGTTGGTTTTGGACACTGAGTGAGGACTGTGTGTTCCATGCTAGAATGGAGATTTCAGGCCATGTGTGCTGTGTTTTGCCTTGAATAATCTAAAACCCACTAACGGTTGTGATAATAAACCTTGCTACCCATAATAAACATTGACAGACATATGTAAATAGTTAAAAACAATAGAAATACCCTGAAGATTGGCTTCAAGTATGATATTTATACAGATAGATAGATTTCTTTAAACCTATTCCTGGCTTTCTTTCTTTCTTTCTTTCTTTCTTTCTTTCTTTCTTTCAACCTATTCCTGGCATTCTTTCTTTCTTTCTTTATTTCTTTCTTTCATCTTTCTTTCTTTCTTTCATTTCCTGGCTTTCTTTCTCTTTTCTTTCTTTCATCTTATTCCATCTTTCTCCCTTTCTTCTTTATCCCTTTTCTTTTTTCTTTTCTTTCTTTTTCTTTCTTTTCTTTCTTTCTTTCTTTTTTCTTTTTTTTCTTCAATTTTTTCTTTTTTCTTTTCTTCTTTTTTTTTTCCAATCAATATTTTTATTTCTTTTTCTCATTTCTTCTTTTTCCGATCAATTTCTTCCTTTTGATTTTCTTTTCTCCTCCCAATCTATATGTATCATTTCTCCATGACAATCTCCGCTTCAATTTATCCTCCTCCTCCTCCTCCTCCTCCTATCTCACGGCCTCTCGGTATGCATGTTGAATGTCAGTCTCATTCTAACCCTCCCTCCCGTTATGACGTTTTATTTTATTTTTTTTTTAAATTTGCTTTTTATACGCCTGGCAATTATTTATTTATCGACTTGTTTCTCCTTATTTATCGACTTGTTTCTCCTTATTTATCGACTTGTTTCTCCTTATTTATGCCGCCTGTTTCAATTCTCTTTGCGCTTATCGATTTTGTTGGCCTATCATTTTCACTTCGAAATACGCGGGCACCACCGCCCACAATCTCGTCCGTTACCTGTTCTTCTTTCTTCTTTCAATCTTCTACTCTCATTCTATCCTTATCCCTCTCCCTCTCTTTCCTTTCATTCTCTTTATTCACGCTCTTTATTTTTCTTCTTTTCTTTCTCGCCTTTTCACCTTGTCCATTCTTGCTATTTTTAACTTCCTTTCTTTTTCCTTCACACGTTCTCCCATTCACATCTATCCCTCGCTTTCTCGTTCTGATTTCACTTCCTGTCTTTGTGCTTTCCTCCTCTTCTCTTTAATCTATTCCTATGCCTTCCTCATGTATGTCTATCCTTTCACGATCATATTTTATCCACGTCGCACAGATTAAGCGCCGTCATTTTAAATGTTTACTTCGTTCTCCTACGATATTACCTACCATCAGTCTTGAATCTTTCTGCATTATGGCGTGTCTCTCTCTCTCTCTCTCTCTCTCTCTCATATGAAGTTTCTTTCGACCTTTCTTTTTTTTTACATTTTTCTTCACATTTTGGCATTTCCTTTTATATCTGTCTATCTGTCAATCATCCATCACGTCTGCCTGTCTTATTCATTTAATATCTCTTTGTCTCTCTCACTTTGTTCAGATCTATCTATCTATCTATCTATCTATCTATCTATCTATCTATCTATCTATCTATCTATCTATCTATCACTTTGTTCATTTCTATCTAACACTTTGTTCAGTCCTATCTATCTGCCTATCTATCACTTTGTCCAGATCTATCTATCTATCTATCTATATATATATATATATATATATATATATATATATATATATATAGATAGATAGATAGATATAGATATAGATATATATATATCACTCTGTTCAGTTCTATCTATCTATCTATCACTTTGTTCAGATCTATTATTATATCTGTCTTTCAGTTTTTTCGGATCTATCTATCTTTCATTTTTTCAGATCTATCTATCTATCTATCAGTTTGTTGCAACCCATCTATCTTTCAATTTGTTCATATCTATCTATATTTGTCTATCTCTCTACCTGTTTTATTCTTTTAATATATATCTCTTTCTCTATCTATCTATCTATCTATCTATCTATCTATCTATCTATCTATCTATCTATCCCAGTTTCTCTCCTTTTCTTTCTCTCTCTATTTCCCTACCAATTTCTCTATTTATCTTTTCTGTCTGTCTTTTAATTTTTTTCCTCTTCTTCCTATTTATGCCAGCCACTTTTACATGCTCGATATATTGATAGGATTTTTTTATATCTCAAATCAGCAAACGATGTTTGGTTTTAATTAAAAGCAACGATTTGAAGATACACGCCCTACACAGTCATATTAGCCAAACTCTCACTTCATTTGTATACTTGTAAAATCGGCGTATCTTCATTTTTCACGGTCATTTTTCTTTTCCATTTTAAATTTTCTTTCTTGTTGCCAATCAGTTCGTCAGTTCATCGGCAGACAACTTTCAACCGCTTTGAGATCAGCATTAAAATGGCGTCCTTCTGATTCGAGAATCACAACTTTTTTTTTCTATTTTGAAAAAAACAAAAATCGAATCTGTTCTTAAACGGAAAACACTGAGAAAAAAACAAAAAAACCTTAGCATCGTAATGTGCTAGTTTTTTTTCTGTTTTTTGTTGTTGTTGTTGTTGTTGTTTTTGTTTGTTTTTTCGTGAATATCTGTAACTAGAGTTTTCCCCAAACATGATAATTTACGAATTAATTGTAATTTTTCAGACATCATGGCCGTCGGAGTTTCTAAGCAGCACGAAAATCATTTAACTCTTTCAAAATGTTCTGATGCAATCAAAACCGGTTGAAATGGAAATAAGTGTGAAAGCTCTTTTGAATCAACCCCTAATTAAAGACATTTGCGGCAACTTAACCTACACGTCATCCCCACTTATAAAAAACCTGTTGGGTAAAAGATGACTTGACCTTTAAACTTTATGACATAACAATATTAGAAAAGTAATATTTTATCTTCTTCTTCCAGATTTATTTCGATAAGCATTTACGTTTTTTATTTGCTTCTCATTATATATTCGGATATTTATTCAATCCGATTCTGTCAAAATCAAATGAAGGAAAGATCTTAGCAAGATTGCATTGTGACAATTTTTCAAGCATGCAAATCTGCAAAATCTCATTCTGCTCATTTTCTATCCATATATCAAGCTAGTTAGCTTGCTAATTCTCTTCATTTTCTATCCATCAATCTATGAATCTATCTAATCCTTTTCATTTCCTATCTAGCCAGCGATCTAATGAAGATCATTTTATATATATATATATAATTCTGTTCTTTTTTCTTTCTTTCTATCTATCTATCTATCTATCTATCTATCTATCTATATATATATATATATATATATATATATATATATATATATATATATATATATATATATAATATAAAAATATATGTATATATATATAATTCTGTTCATTTCTCTTTCTTTTTTCATTTATCATCTGTCTATGTATCTATCTATCTATCTCATTTTATCTTCTATCTATCTTTCTATCTATCTATCTATCTATCTATCTATCTATCTTCTACGGTCAATCTATCTTTCTTACGGTCAAATCACTGAAAACACCGGTTCTCGTTCGATCACCGAAGTTAAGCATTGTAGAGCCAGGTCAGTACTTAGATGGGGGACCGCTTGGGAACACCTGGTACTGTAAGCCCCAAAGTCCAACCCTTACCTCACAGTCGGTGGGGGGTGTAAACGGTAGTGTCAGAGCTATGCCGCCCGGAACTTTGTTCCTGGTAGGGCCACCCAAGGCGGACAGGTCTGACACACACGCTGGCTAACAAGGGCTCTGGTGAAAATCCAAGGAGCGTCTGCATCGGTAACCGGCGGCTTCTGGTCGTTCCTGTCTCTGCGTCTGTTGGAATCCCCGCGGCAAGCAAGAACGTTATCCGAGTAGGCCTGGGTACCCTACTTCTGTAATTTATCCCAAGAATCTTCTTCTCATAACAGGAAGAAGCCGACTCAATCCGCCCAGGGTGAATGCCGCATCAGTACAGTAGTACAGTACAGTATCTATCTATCTATCTATTTAATTCTGTTCATCTATCTATCTAATTCTGTTCATTTATCATGTATCTATCTATACTCATTTTCTATCTATCTATTCAATTACTTTATATCTATCTTTTCTATCAATATCAATCTTTTCCTATCTATTTGTTTAGTATCTATCTCTTTGTTTATATCTCTCTATTTATCTCTCTCTCTATATATATATATAAAGAGAGGAATAGAAATCATCATTTTCTTACCAGCTTGCTTCAATACTTCGTTTTAAGCATCTCTCTGTCAATCTATCTACCTCTATATATTGAGAGAAACAAACAAATACGAACAGAGAAAAATAGATAGATAGATAGATAGATAGATAGATAGATAGATAGATATTCGAAATCTGCCGATGCTGTAAAGAATGAACTGAGCAGCAGCTCCAGCCCAGATATGGCAACAATACTCCGTTTTTGGTCAAAAGACGATAAGAGATCCATCAAAATTTGTTTGGAAAAGTGAACAAACCATAAACAGCAAGCCTTGAAATGTTCCCTCTACGCCTTAGCTATTAATTGCCATGCAGGACAGGGGTGACTTGTGAAGTATTCACAATATCTGCGGCCATTGAATAAAACTTTCATTTCACAATTTGAAATCAATTAAAAAAATTCGTCCAATTTGTAACGAAGACCGACATGCCAAACCCTGTCAAATGCCTTCGAGATGTCCAAAGCAACAGTCTCAGATTCTATATTCTAATCTAAAGTTTGCTAGACACTTTTAGCAATATTCGTTAATAACTCAGCAGTTGACCTAGAGAAGCGAAAGCCATATTGCTTATCTGAAAGAAGATCCTGTGATGTAAAGTGATAAACCAATTGTTTAGAGCATCTAGGACTTTGCCAAGAAAAGGCAGATAGTCGATAATGAAAAGGATCAAACAGTTCGCCTGACTGGAACAACAGAAGACGATTCGAACGAAATAGTTTAGGGAATTTTCCTTACATGGTTTTTGTCTGGCCACAAAACGAGTTATCTTTATCGACGGTGTTTTAGTAAGACGATTATGGACAGACATAATGGTTAATTGTGCAGTTAACCGTTTCTATACGGGAAACATTCAACCTTTGATTTTTTATTGATTTTTATTGATTGGTTCGTCTCTTATGGCTCATCATCACAATGCAGGTTATTTAATGCCAGAAAATATTTTTAGATTGTAAATTTTTTTTTGAGATAATAATGGTTTTAGCGATACAAGTCTTACTAATTATCCCATAGCTGGGGGAGAAGAGATGGATTCATACCTTTCCGAAGGTTTATGGTGATTTTCGATGTGGCACAAGGCTAAATGTAGCGGGCACCCAGTAAGGATCAAACTCACTGCTCAGTCGTAATTTTTTCTAGTGAGACAAGCTTGTTAACCATTACCCTACAATTCCGAGCTGTTAACCATTACACCACCCGCACATCCAAGCTTACAGCACCTGGCATTCCCAAGCTGTCACCCATCTAAGTACTAACCAGGCTCAACCTTGTTTAACTTCGGTGATCCTACTGGAACCAGTGTTTCAACATGATAGAGCCGTAAGCCTGGCTTTTACTAATCAAACCGGTTGAAGTTTATAGAATCTTTTCTTTTAGGTAATTAGATTCTCAATTCTGCTGCCTGTTATCGTATTTTTTACAATGATATTCACCCCATACAAGATGCGAGAGCCACTCGAGCTAGAGGTTTACGGAGTAAGAGGCACAGTTTATACGCATATATTTTGGGAAGAAAATGGTTAAACCTAAGCTTGAATAGGTTAACATGGTAGTGATCGGGGAAGCATCCTTGTGGGAACCGCTTCCACAAAGTAGCCGTTTGTAAGAAGCTGCTGCTTAAGTGGAACTGACATTTGACATCTGACATACGAAGGGAACGAGAGTAGCATGACGGGTCCTAACCCTAACCCTAATTGGTGGAATTAAGGAATGCAGTCCGTCTGATCACTTTTCATTGAATAGCGGTAGACCAGAAAAGATATTTGCTTCATTTCGTCTGTGAGAAAAAAAGTCGTAGGGTAGAAAATAATTTATCACGCTTTTGGGATCTTCTACACTGGAGAGTGAAGCTCCTGTCCATATATGGCAGATGTAATCCATTTCCGGTTTGATGTGGCTTTTGTAAAGGTAAAAGATATCAGGAGGAGTCAGTTACTTACTGGAGCGTCACAGGGAACGGACCATTTTTCCAGCATCTTTAGCAATGGACCGTCTATAGAAGTTATCTATATCTCTGAGATAAAGTATTGTAATTAATGTTTGGGTCATATTGGCTGTACTTTTCTTCCGAAATGAACTTCGAGCAAGTTCTGATGGAATTTTCACCTTGTCTAACAAGCATTAATCGTAATTTGGAAAAAAATTAAAATTAACGCACAATTTGCATTGTTTCTAATTTTATTTATCTTAAAGAACATTTGCTGCTTAAATACACGGAATATATATAAATAAATGCTGCTTAAATACACGGAATTATATATATATATATATATATATATATATATATATATATATATATATATATAATTATTTATTTAAAAATTATACCATAAATATGTTATAAAATCACTATGGCTATTTTTGTAGTGATTTTTATAACATATTTATGTTATAATTTTTAAATAAATAATTATATCTGCTCTTCTCTGTATTGAGCACTCTTTTTAAGAATAGTAATTGTTGGTTATTGGAATTTATTCTGTATACACCAATCCTATATATATATATATATATATATATATATATATATATATATATAAAAGTCAACATTCAGAGGCGACAGGCTGTTTCAATGTTCACTTTTATATTTATATTTACATACGCTCTATCTCTGATTTAGAGCACTTTATCCCATAAATATAGCACGCCTTTAAACTATATTTCTTCATATATATATATATATATATATATATATATATATATATATATATATATAAATGCATGCAGGATGCGATGGGTAAATTGTCTCCATGTTATATTTTAATTTCGCGCATGTGCGTTGTTTGTTTTTGATTTTGTCCACTGCACAGTATAATTGCATTTGTTGGGCACTGTCCAAGGCCGCGAAGAAGATGCATTTTGGCTTCTATCGACACTGGAAAGTGAAGACTAGGCAGATAAAAAGAATACCCGCTCGGCCCGGTGGCTAGGATCAAAGTGTAGTATCTGCGCTTTGTGAGCTGCCGGGTTGGGTGTCTGTCGAACTCTCTGCTTGCAGAGAGGAACCCGGACGAAGCGCCACTGAAGGGTAGAGTTTCGTTGGGGGAGGTTGACGGAACTGGCCCGCCTCGGCGGGTTTGGATGGTTATTTATTTTTGGCTGGGCCTACGGGCTCAGACATACCCACATTAAAAAAGCCTTGTGCCACATTCGATCCCCGTGGGTGGATTGATAAATACCATCTGTCTCGTTATTTACCCATAGATCAGGGGGAGATGTGATGGATACCTACCTTTCCTACGGTTATTTGCACATAAGTGAAGGTAATGAACTTGAGTGGAATTCGAACTCGGCTCTCCGATTCCTTAATCCGAACCGAAATCCATTATTCCACCGTGCCTCCATATATTTGGGGAATTGAAAGGTTATTTAATATAACATATTACATATATGGAAACATCAAGAAAAAAATGTCGTGTTTATGGATCGGCAAGTATAAAATTGCTTTCGAATTTCTTTCTGGAGGAACGTCGTTAGAAGATGATGTCAGCCTCGGGCGTTCATTGGACTTTTAAGATGAAGGTCAAAAATTATTAATGGATAGCAACCCCACGGCAAAATGCTCGTGAGTTAAAAAAGATGTTAAACATAACACAATCGACTATATACCGTCAAACAGAAACGTTTTTTTTTTTTAAAAATCAATAAGTCGAGTGCTTCAGTTCGACACACTCTTAAATAAAAAAAAATCGAATCTTTCATCCCCTGCACCAAGATTCCTTTCTCGACAGAGAAATAACCCGTTTCTTAAATATATCAAAACAGGTGATTATTTTAACAGGGAAAAATTCACGGTTTTTGTTGTGGTGTCTTCTCTCTAAGGAGTTTATGTTGGACTCTTCTGCCTACTATAAGATTACTAGGAGAGAAGGCCTTGGGGGAACATTCGACTAGGCTGTTCGTAACTGTCGAACTCTCTGCTTCGGCAGAGAGGAAATCGGACGAGGCTTTGCCTCAGGGCAAAGTTTCGTCCGGGGAGGTAGACAGGCTCTGAACCCGTTTATACGGGTTCTAAAGGAATATTTTTGGCCGAGCCTACGGGCTCGGAGTATCTACGGTAAAAACGGCCTCGTGCCACATACATCCCTCGTGGAGAGGGGGCTGTTAAATATTAACAGTCGACCAGATTGTTCATCTCCTCTCTCTGCCTTAAGCGGAGAGGAACCCGGACGAGGCTTTGCCGAAGGGCAGAGTTTCGTCCGGAGAGGGAGACAGCCCCTGAACCCGTTTATGGTGAGTTCTAAGGGAATATTTTTAACCGAGCCTACAGGCTCGGAGTACCCATGGTAAAAACGGCCTTGTGTCACAAATATCCCTCGTTTGTTAAATATTAACAGTCGAATAGATTGAACGCTAGTCAACCGACACACACTGACTAGTCGTGTAGTACTCTTCTGTTGTACTTACTGTTTAATATATGATATATCTGCAACACTTGTTTTGTTATTTCTTTAACCATTTACTTGATCACAACAGTTTTATATACACATTTGTTTATCTTTTTGCTTACAATTACATCTTCACAAGCTTACGGCCACGTCACGTTGAAACGCCGGTTCCTGTACGATCATCAAAGTTAAGCAACGTCGAGTCTAGTCAATACCTAGATGGGTGACCGTTTGGGAATGTCATGTACTTTTGCTTGGATTTGCAGATTGTGCGATTGATAATGGCTAAGAATTATTAATTAGAGAGTCGTGTTCGAATTCCAGTTGGGTTCCTTATATTCATTTACGCTCAAATACCCTTGGCAAAGGTATGAATCTACCTCTTTCCTCCACCTATGGGTTAATTAATAAGACTTGTATCACTAAATCTTTATTATCTATAAACATAAAATAGAATCGCGTACAATATATTTAGATTTCGAAATTAGATAACCCATAGATGTTGATATGCAGCTAAACAAAATCAATCAACCAATCAACATTTTCAGGTGTATCCGTTTATGGGAACCAATTGTAAATACGAATGTATCATCCTATCTAACATTTCCTTAAATATATCAAAGAAGGTGATGAAAAGTGGGTTACATACAACAATGTTCAACGCAAAAGATAGTGGACGGACAAGTATAAATTTTCACAATCGACCCAAAAGGCTGAGCTCCATGCAATGAATTTAATGTTATGGTTGTGGTGGGATCGCCAGTTTATTTTAGCGCTTAATACAGTTACCAGTTTGAGTATATCATCATTATTATATGCTATGTAAATTTCGTTTCTGGAAACCAACTCTAATGACAATTCAATATGCCTGAGCCCCAATAGATGTTGAGAGTACAAGCGTTCATCATGATTGGAGGAAACTCGAGGCTCTACTCCGTGGTCAGGTAACATTAATAGCTTGATCTAGAAATACGGAGACAATACTCCTATCAGGCATCCATATAAGTCTGATGATTCCAATTCATAATTCTATTTTTTCTAACCTTTTCGTGTTGTACAAAGAATACGAGGTGTGTCAGAAACGAAACAGGACTGAAGTGCCCCCAAAATATATCAAATTCAAACTAGAAACTCCAAGATTTCGCCTTCAAAATGCGTCCCTACGAGTCCAGTTTTCCCGTCTTCCTCTTTCATGCCTCCACGCCACTCCTGGAAGGATTCTCCCGGAATTCTCCACAGCTCCGTCGTCACTGTCCGCTTGATGGCTTCCACGTCCGAAAAACGAGTTCCCTGGATGACCCCTTGATGACCCCTTGACCTTTGGGAAAACGAAAAAAATTTACAGTGAGCCAGCTCGGGTAATTAGAGAAGTTACTGCAGCACGGCGATGTTTATCAAGGGGACACGTTCTCCAGACGTGGGTGCCATCAATAGGGCTGCAAGAAGAATTCTTCCAGGCGTTGCGGAGAAGGATGGAAAAATGCTTTAGAATCGAGGGCGATGATAATTACGAAGGATACAACTTGTAATTTGTAGTCTTGTTTTTGACATATAATTTTTGTCACTTTAGTCCTGTTTCTTTACTGACACATCTGATATTCCACTACACTTATAGCCGCACAGCTCTAACTTAGGGATATAACAATTTTCAAATAAACCGATATCTGCAGCTTCTTTCAAATTTCTCACTCTCCAGCTGTGTCACTTTTCTGGGTCATATTTCTCTCGCCAGATATCATCTGGAATATGGAATTTATGTTCAACGATTTTGAGTTTTTTGGACGATCAGTAATCGATTTTTTTTTTTCAGATAAAATCTATAAATCTCGCCATGACAATATAGGAGAAGGAAATTGTTTTTTTAATGAATTGTAACAACTGAATTTCTTTAACGGAACTTAAATACAAACGAAAACCGTGAAGAAAAATTAACTAAAATTAGCAAAAATAACCTTTGGTGGCGGGGATGGAATTACGTCGTTGCAAGAAAAGCGTTATTTTTTTTTTTAAGAATACGAAAAAAAAATGGATGACAAAAAAACACCAAAAATATAAAACTTGACGCCTTCAAAACAAACAAATGAAAACACGTTCGATTTTACCTACTACTAATTCTATCATCTTGAATTTTTCCTGACCTTCTATAATTTTACAGAGAGAACGTCAGACTAGCTTCAGGTAATATCTGCGCATGCGTATTAATTTCGCGCTTCTCCGTGTACGTGTGCTCATTTTCATTTCTTACGATAAAGACTATATACACGTGAGAGCCTATGGCGTTCAGAATATAGTGCAATGTTATTGCGAACGAGAAAAGTCAGTGACATTGACAAGGACAAACAGGGATGAAAATAATGTTCCTTGTTATCCTGGCAGACATGATAGTACCAACGATGGTAGCCATTTGTAAAATAATGATTATAATATACAAAATAGGAAATCGTTTTTTTCCAGCGTCTGATAATACAGAAATACAACATAAGACTTTAATTGGATATTTCACCTAGAAATAAAAATACGCATTTTATCGATCCATATCAGTTTTAGAAATATATTTGATGTTCTAAAATGAACTATCGATCATCATCAACATGTGCTGTGTTCTTTTGAGACATGAGCAATCGATTGCTCTCCCAAACTTCCTATCATTTGAAGCGGTTAAAATCTTTGCGATCGGGATGCATCCAAGCAAGAGTATGTTCTACAAGGTTACAGTTCTGAAGAAGAATCTGAGTGGAACTTCCTCCTTGCGAATGGAATACGAACTCTCCGGCAACGAGTCGACTGGATACGTGGCATGACTGGTCCTAGATTTAAAAATCTGGTACCTGTCTATATTTCTGAGCTTAGGTATTATGTACACTATTTGCATTATTCGGACTATTGTCCTCATCTTTGTTGCCATATTTATCACAACGTTTTGGCCATTGTACGCTACAGCCTTCTTCAGGAATGGTTGGAATATCGAACTGAACCCTTTATTTCGTTCGACATTCCAACCACCTGAAGAAGGCCGGAGTGTACAACGGCCGAAATGTTTTGAAAAATATGGCAACAAAGATGAGGACAATAGTCTGAACAATATTTAGTTTATAAAATTACAACGCCTCATCTCAGAAATATAGACTGTGAATATGACAATAAAGATGAGGATAACTGTCCAAACAATGTAAATGGTGTAAATAGTTACAATACCTCATCTCAGAAATATAGACTGTGAATATGAAAATAAAGATGAGGACAACAGTCCAAACAATGTAAATAGTGTAAATAGTTACAATACCTAATCACAGAAATATAGACTGTGAATATGACAATAAAGATGAGGATAACTGTCCATACAATGTAAATAGTGTAAATAGTTACAATACCTCATCTCAGAAATATAGACTGTGAATATGACAATAAAGATGAGGATAACTGTCCATACAATGTAAATAGTGTAAATAGTTACAATACCTCATCTCAGAAATATAGACTGTGAATAACAATAAAGATATAACTGTCCATACAATGTAAATAGAAAATATATGGTGAATAACAAAAAGATGAGGACAACAGTCCAAACAATGTAAATAATGTAAATAGTTACAATACCTCATCTCAGAAATATAGACTGTGAATATGACAATAAAGATGAGGATAACTGTCCATACATCTCAGTTAAATATAGAAATATAGAATGTGATATGACAATAAAGATGAGGACAACAGTCCAAACAATGTAAATAGTGTAAATAGTTACAATACCTCATCTCAGAAATATAGACTGTGAATATGACAATAAAGATGAGGATAACTGTCCAAACAATGTAAATAGTGTAAATAGTTATAATACCTCATCTCAGAAATATAGACAGAAATCAATTTATTATTTTAATTAGACGATTGAGTGATTGAGTGATCTGTTTTTACGGCTCATCAAACCAGGAAATTATTTTTAGATTGAAATAACTTTTGGGGGATAATAATGATTTACTGACACAAGTTATACTATTTAACTCATAGCAGGTGGCGGGTAAAGAGGTTGATTCGTACCTTTTCCAAAAGTATTAGTGCGTAAGTAAATATAAGGAACCCGATTGGAATTGGAACTCCGCTCCCGGACTTGCAATTTGAAATCGTTGTTGATTACACGAACCATATGTCCAAGCTTACGGTATCTGGTATTTACATGTGCTCACCCATCTACGTAGTGACCAAACTCGACGTTGCTTAACGTCGGTGATCGCACGGGATCCGATGTTTAAACGCGATATGGCCGTAAGCCTTGTATTAGACGAAATTAACAAATGTGCACGTTTCAAATTCATGTATGTTTTACAACTAAATTAAGCGGGGAAATAATTTTTTAAAAAAAGTAGATGTTATTGAAACTAGGAAGTGAAGAGCATTTAGGATTTTAAAAGAAAGTATCACAAACAAAACAACAACAAAAAAAAGGAAAAAGAACTGAAAATCATAAATGATTATCTTTTTGATTTTTCTGTAATGTGTGTCTGTCCTTATGAAACGTGAATTTATTCGGACGCATGTTCCTGTCATTGTCGGTATGCTCATAATTTTCCGCCATTTTGAATTTGCGGCTGCTTTAGACGTCTGTTCTATACAGTAACGTCGTAGGACTTTCTTTAATAAAGAATTGCCATTATTACGCCCGAATCTCTTTGGATTATTCTGCAGGTCTTCATTATTATAGTTACATCGTTTCAGCCATTGAAATGTCTTCTCTACTTTTTTTTTAAAATCTGGATTATTTCGTGATCAGGAATAAAGAATGTTTGTCCGAATAGATATGTTTATTATACATATATCTATTCGGACGAATGTCCTTATCTTGATTCAGTTATTTTTGACTTACGACCATATCACGTTGAAACACCGGTTTCCGTACGATCACCGAAGTTAAGCAACGTCGAGCCTGATAGGTGACAGCATGGCGCTGCAATTTTAGATGTGGGGGTGTTGCAATATTTAATGGTGGAATTGTTAATCGGAGAACCCAGTTCCAATTCCAGTTTGGTTCGTTATATTCGCTTACGTGCAAATACTCTTGCGAAAGGTATGAATCCCTTCTTCTCCAAGCTATAGATTAATTTGTAAGATTTGTGCCACTAAACGATTATTATTTCCAAAAATAAAATAAAATCAATTATAAAGTATTTATATTTCGGTATTAAATAACCTGCAAATAGTTGATATGCCACTAAAAAACAAGGAATCACTTGTTGTTGTCAGAAACCTTTGGAGATTTTGCGATAAAATAAATTACTACTACTACTACTACTACTACTACTACTACTAATAATAATAATAATAATAATAATAATAATTATAATAATAACCATACGTACAGAAGAGCGCTATTGAAGAAAAGAAACAGAATAGAACAGACAGAATGGAAAAGACAGAACAGAAAAGAGAGAATAAAAAAGAAACAGAATAGAAAAGAAACAGAATAGAAAAGACAGATTAGAAAAAAGAATAGAAAAGAAACAGAAGAGAAAAGACAGAATAAAAAGGACAGCATAGAATATATAGACTAGAAAAGAAACAGAATAGTAGTGACAGAATAGAAAAGGAACAGAATAGAAAAGAAACAGAATAGAAAAGAAAGACCAGAAAAGAAACAAATTAGAAACGGAACAGTATAGAAAAGAAACAGAATAAAAAAGACAGAATAAAAAGGACAGAATAGAAAAGAAACAGAATAGAAAAGAAACAGAATAGAAAAGAAACAGAATAGAAAAGAAACAAAATAGAAACGGAACAGTATAGAAAAGAAACAGAATAGAAAATACATAATAAAAAGGACAGAATAGAAAAGAAACAGAATAGATAAAAAAACAGAATAGAAAAGAAACAGAATAGAAACGAAACAGAATAGCAAAGAAGCAGTGTTTGACAATGTTCAATTTTCGGCAGTATGTTTGTCTTCATATTTCGTTTAAAAATATTTTCATGTATAAAAATACAAAATAGTTTACAAAAAAATGTAAATCTTTGTGGCCACTGAATGATATAAAACAAGAATAACTTTTACAAACAAGTTAGTAACTTGGTGTAGTAACATTTGGAGCGTTTGAATCTTGTAAGGAAATATTTTTAAATCCAGTTTCAGAATCTTCTGAAGCGATGTTCTGGCAATGTCTAGTCGAAGCAGAGCGACGACTGGTAGAAGCTGATCGCTTCTCAAGGACACTTGAGCATACAGCTTTCACCGTTGCGTCAGTGCGCACAGTGCATTTAGGACCTCTTCCCAGAAGATCGCCGACTGATTCAGTTCTTTCAAACCAGGCGATTGGGTTCCAAATCATGTCATCGCTAGGAGTTACTCTGACATTAACATGTTGCCGGTATTTTCTCTGAGTTTAAATAATTTATCTTTCACTGGAATAGAAAAACTCAATGGGATTTACTCGTTGCTGGATATGATACGTAGCCATTTTGAATCTCCAACGGATGCTGTATAACCTGCAGAAAAAAAAAGAAAAAACATAAAAAAGAAAAACTTATGACTTTTCAAAACATTCAGTTTTTCAGTAGCCACCCTATACAAACGTCGCTTCTTGAGAAAAACAGCTGTACTGGTAAACAACACGTTAAAACGAATGAAACGTTAAAACGAATGAAACGACGCCAGTGTGAAATCATCCAACTGAAACATGCATAATGTGATGGTGATCTTGTTCATCTTGAAATTTCCCGTTAGTTGATTAATTATTAAGAGGAACTTTTTTTTGCTAATCGAGCAAGGGAGTAAAACCACTGAGACGCAAGTGGTTACTTGGTGTATAAGAGTTAGAAACAGAAACACCTGCTAGGGAGCGAGAACAGAGGAAATGTAATCAAGAGGACAGTAGAAATATTGATATTGCATTTAAATTTTTGCATATTAAATTATTGAATTAATCAGACAGCTTATTATAAATTTTATGGAACTCTCCTATTATTCTGTTCATTCTCCCGGGGCGGGAAGTTAGTAATTTGCATACGAAACTATCTTGATGCATTTTAAGTGTCGCAGAATCTGCAGTTTAAGATTTTCGTCGAAATTAAAGTCATTTGTAATAAAATGTTCCCAAAGATCCATTGAGGTCACATTGTTGTCGTCTGACACCATATCTGTAAGTATTGAATGTTTTATTTCATTTTTCCACTGTGCAACCCACATAATACAAGTCATGTTTGGTGCACTGGGCCACGTATATTAAATGGGAATCAGCACAATTGTCACCTTCTGATGAAATCGTAATATTTCTCTTAGAATTTGTAACAGAATTCTCTTGGTTTATGTTAACGCACAATGAACAGGGTTTTCCTCTTCTTACTGGGTTTTTTGAAGTAAAACTATCTGAAAGTCAAGGGAGTTTGAGTGCGAATACTTGCATATATCTGATTTTTTTTAATTATTTCGTTTGAAATACGCCCTCATCTCTAGGTGATTTGGAAGATTTATGTCAGTCACTAGTTTAATAATAATAATAATAATAAATTGAATTGATTCCTGGTAGTCCATGCCTTAAAGAAATACAAAAACTTGTACTCACAAGTACAGCTCACACATTACGAAGGGTTTATCCATTTAAAATACAGGGTGTTACAGCAAAATCCGACACTTGACAACAAGGCAACAAAATAGGCAATAAAAACAAAAATTGTATATGCAGATAAACGACAGTTTATTTAGCAACAGTTAAAGTTACATACTCCATTGTTGAGCAGCCACGCCTTGTGTGCAGGAGCGGAGTCCTGCTGGAAGACGTGTGGGCGTCCGGCGGCGATCTCGTCCATCCAGGGCTTCTCCTCAGCACCTCCTGGTAGATCTCAGCAGTGACTCTCAGGTCCTTTTGAAAGAAGAACGGAGGCATGACGTCCCCCTCGCTGGAGATGATGCCAAGGACCATGACAGAGGAGGGAAACTTCGTAGGCTTCACGACGGGAACCTCCTCGATGTCTTTGCAGATCCACCTATCGTTCTGACTGTTGCTCGTCTGGTCCTGGATGAAATTCTTTTCATTTGAGAAGAACCTCAGCATCCCGGTGGACCCGTGCTTGAGCTCGTTCAGCAATGCTTCCGCCCACACCTTCCTCGACTCCTTGGAGGCATTCGTGATGAGCATGCGGTGAGACATGCGGTAGGAGGAGTAACCAATGTCTTTCTTGATCGTTCGGCAGATCGTCGACTTGTGACAGCCCATGTCAGCGGCGATCTTGGCGTAGCTCTGGCTTCCATCATTGTTGACTGTCTCGTGATAAGAAATCGTTATTAATATACATAAACCTCTTCAGACTAATATCCTCATCTTAGTTGCTATAAATACATTAATTCGGCTTTTGGTTTGGTTGATTTCGTTTATTTTCTTTAGCGCCATATCATCACCCCTATGGGTTATTTAATGCCGATATTTAAATATTTTGTTCGCAACTTTTTTTTGGGGGGGGGATATTTTTTAAGTCATACTAATTAACCCACAGCTGGGAGACGAAGAGGTGGATTCATAACTTTCCTAAGGAATTTTGCACATAAGTAATATAACGAATCCAACTGAAGTTGAAACTCGACTCTCCGATTTCCAATTCCGAGACATTACCCATTACACCACCCGCACATCCAAGCTTATATCACTTGGTATTCACAATCCATCAGCCATCTAGGTACTGATCAAGTTCAACGTTGCTTAACCAGCTGTTGGTTTCAGAAACCATTGAAATTTCTGTGATAAGGAATTATTATTATTATTATTATTATTATTATTATTGTTTTATTTCCTTTGATTTCTGCTGAGCACACATCTCTTTCCGGGTTCCGACCAAAGATCTAAGGTCAGAAATGTCATGATGACATTTTCCACTGACCAATTAAGGAAAAAAAACCCGAAAAAATGTATTTTACATAGATAGAGCCCTTCATAAAGCGTGGGCCGTTCTCGTGAGAACATTTTTTGTATTTCTTTAAGGCATGGGCTTCCAGAAATACCTTCAATTAGTCTATTGAAATCTTTTCCAATCATTCTGAGGGCTCCAACTACAACAGGGATTGTTGATGTTCGCATGTGCCACATTTTTGAGATGTCGATTTCATTATTATTATTATTATTATTATTATTATATGAATCTGTTCAGACTAAATTCCTTATCTTTGTTGCCACAGATACAATGATGCAGCTTTTGGTTTCAGGAAGATCATCTGTGATAATAAATTCATTAAACTAATATTCTTTTCATGGTTTTTATAATTAAAATATTTCAGCCATTGGTTTCAAAAACATTCTGATATTTTCAGTGGTATGAAATCGTTATTATTATACGTGAACCACCTTGTATTAATATCTTCATCTTAGTTGCCATAGGTACAATGATTCAGAACTATTGAGATTTTATGTAATATGGAATTATCATCATTATACATTCATCTATTCAGGCTAATATCCTTATCTGCGTTGCTATAGTTACAATTTTTCAGCCGTGGTAATATGTTCCTTCTTCTGCTGAGAATTTATGTGATCATATATCATCATGGTTATAGATTTGTCTGTTCTGACTAGCGTTCTTACTTTCGTTCATATTGACATACCTTTCCCGACATTGTTAATTTGGGACTTATACTTGTCAGAGTCTGTAGCCTGATTATGTCTGTGATGGCTAATCGTTACATATCAATCTCTTTGAACTAATATTCTTATCTTTGTCGTTATAGATACAATGTTTAAGCACTTGTAATATCTTCGCTCCGTTCTAATCATCAAGCAAGGCGATAATGCCACTAAGACGCAAGTGGTTTTATGGAATGAAAAAGAATTAAAAGAGGGGAAAGAACAATAAAGAGACAGGATTCAGAAAGATGGAAAATGGCGAGTGACGTTAGATTTACATTTTTGAAGATTGTAGGTGGCAGGAAAACAAGTAAAAGGAATCGAGTTCAACAGGCGAGAAGTGTGTGAAAAGAGTCTATTAGAATAGAACAGACAATTGCTTTTAGCGAGGTATATTCACCCGGTCTCCTCATTAAGACACGGTGCGACACAAGGTCGTTTTAACGTACGGAGAGTCATACACATTTGTATGCATATAAGTCAAGGAAAAAATGTTTTGACTCAGCCCCCGCCCCCGGAACCGTTGTCACGCTGGCATCGGTATTACACCAACCCAACTTCTCTTACCGCAATGAGGAATGGTGTTGCCGCAGGGTTGAAATCTCCAGGACTGGGGAAGTTCTCCCCTCTAAAATGAAGAGAAATGTTTACACCATTTTCGGTACAAAAGTTAACTCTTGTACCAAGATGCATCTAGTTAGTCCAGAAGTAAAACGGTGAGACCTGATTGCCATTCTAGTAGCACGACGTACTGGGGAGAACAGCTCATTTGAACAATTGCGTGATGATCTTCCTTTTCTCTCCATATATGGTCAGCCACCTTATCACTACCCTCTGTGGGATGAGGTTGAAATAATAGATAGAGGACATCAGTGGAAAATACGAAAAACGCATATGATAGACCACAAAAATCTCCTGAGCCGACCAAGCATAGAAATGAATACAATATGCGAACCAGTAAAAAAAAAAAAAAAAAAAAAAAAAACAATAATAACAAATTGTAATATGAACTCTGGTAAAAAAATTATTATTAGGTTTATAAATGTCAAGAATTCGCCTAAAAAGACACCTGGGCCAATCGATAAAATCATTGGTTGAAGTAATCTAAAACTGATTTGATCCAAAGAGTTCCATATAAACAATCTACCCCCAGTGGACAAAATAAAAGTTTCCAATGTATATGATTTTAGTAAATACGCAGCCCTTGTTTGGTAATCAAACGTTATAAATTGTACTTCTCCAATTTCATTACGGCCAGCGTGTCTTACTCTTATTTAAAAAATGTTTTAAATATAGAATATTTTTCTAATTTAGTTTCATGATAATTCTTGTTTTATTTTACGGCAATTTTTTAAAGATTTTTGTAGCTGTAGATTTTGCTTATTATTTTTTAGAAAAAAATTCGTATTATACACGGGGGATTACGGTATTTCGCTTTTTAATTGCAAATTTCATCGGTGCCAATTAATATATTATTTACACTATTTTCATCGTTCGGACTGTTGTCCTCATCTTTATTTTCATATTCACAACATTAATGGCCGTTGTACACTCCGGCCTTCTTCGTTGGAATTTTTTAATAGGACCCTTTATTTAGTCCAAGGGTAAATTGTTCTAATTGCACGTACCATAACTTATTTGATTTATCTCAGTTTCAGATAATTCCCTTTAGTAACTCAAATCTGCCATCTTTTGTTTACCTCTGCTGTGGCCAAGTATTGAACTCACAACTCTTCGAGTCAAGTTAGTACTTTAACTACCACATTTATCCACTCGGCCACATGCCCTTGAGGGCTACCCTCGTGGACTAAATAAAGGGTTTCGTTCAAAATTCCAACGTATATCACCTGAAGAAGGTGGTAGCGTACAAGAGCCGAAACATTGTGAATATGAGGACAACAGCCCGAACAATATAGTGTAAATAGTTACAATACCTATATATATATATATATATATAATTCCTCATCGCAGAAAATCTCACTGGTTTCTGAAACCAATATTTAAATCATTGTATCTATGGCAACTAGGATAAGGATATTAGTGATCAGACATTAGCATTATCATATTGTGACAAGACATTAGCATTATTATAAATTTATCTCTTTGGACGAATGTCCTTATTTTTGTTGTTATTGCCAGCAACTTTCGGATAGTGTACAATTGACCTGCTTTATTTGTATGGCGAATGCAATAACCCCGTGGGGATGTCTTTCATGACGTTTACCGTTTTATGTATGAAACTATTCGGCCTTGTGTCCGTTTCTTGTTTGTTATAGATACAATGTGTCAGACGTTGGATACGCTGGCTTATTTTAGATGTATGTAGGATTCACTAACCTTCTGGGAATTTCTAGAATAAGAAATTATCATATTTATTCATTAATCTATTCAGACGTTTGTCTTTATGTTCAATGTTATAATAGGACAATTTCGGCCATTTTACACCTTGTTCTTCATTGGTGTCAGCCATGTTGAGTTGCCTTCTGGGAATTGCAGTGATGACTCATCATTAAGTCACATTAGCGCTTTGAGAATAGCGTTATCTTGTTATAGTCACAATACATCTACTGTTGTACATTCTGGCCTTCTGTTGTTACTCTATTCTGTAACCCAGTGGGAATTTCTTTGATCAAATATTATGGTTAATATTCATTATATATATTCGAAACCTTGTGCCGTGTCTGGTCATGGCTCTCCACAATTTTTACAGTTACTAGTAATGTCTATCTTTTTATTAGCGCTCTTACTCCTTGCTCTACGCTCCATCTGTTCGAGCCCTTTAGGTAGATAAATCGCAGTATCCCAGTGAGTGTCACATTCTCCAAGCCTTCTTTCTTCATTATGTATCTAAAAAATGTCAACTGTCTCTTTCTGATTTTAAGTATAAGCTTCTTCTTCGTTTCCATTTTCTTTAAAACTTTCTCGTTATTCACGTACTTCGTCCCTGACATTCTCAGCATCCTTCTGTAGAACAATAACTCTGTTGCCTCTTTTTTCATATGTGCAGCGCTTATGGTTACATCTCGTTGAAACACCGGTTCCCGTACGATCAGGGAAGTTAAGCAACGTCAAGACTGACTAGTAGTCAGATGGATGACCGCTTAGAAAAACCAGGTGCCGTAAGCCTAGAGCGTGCTGGTGGTGTAACGGATAATGGCACAGGATTTTTAAAAGAAGAGCCGTGTTCCAATTCTGGTCGGGTTCGTTACATTCACTCGCAAATACCCATGGGAAAGGTATCGATCCACTTTTTATTCCAGCTATGAGTTAATTAGTAAGAATTGTATCTGTAAATCATCATTAACTCAAAAGAAATTTCCTAACATGAAAAAAAACATTTAACAAAAGTTCAGTTGACCATTGATGACTATTCCAGAACAACATACCTATAAACAATTTTTTTCTATCTTCTGCCAGGCGCAATGATGGAGAAAGCATTATCTCGAACCATGGCCAGTGAGACACGCTGCAAGAGCCACTCCGTTTCGCGAGGCTCGTCCCTTAATCAAGACGCAATTGCACCAATCCTCCAACGAAGGAACGCCATCGAACGAGGGCCAATAACCCCTGAAGTCTCCACTGCCACAGGAGTAAAAAAAAAATCTATCAGCAAGAGAAGAATATTTAACTATTTTTTCTTTCATCTCTGCGTCCCGGGCGACGGACCCTGGCTCAACTGCGGACCTGATCAAATTACCGGCCGAAAATGTATCCGCACAGGTCGCATCCCAAATCAACGACTTGCCCATTTTAAAAGGGAAAATAGTAATGCCATCCGACCGCTTTCCATCACCGCGGGTTCGATTTGGGAAGGGAACCCAACTGCATCCAAACCTCTTTAACTGGGAACCAGTATTACACTTATGATGTCATCTTTATCTGCTGTTGTTGACTTATTTAACCAACAAGGTGATAGCTCAATGAGATCCAAGCACTGCAAACCGGGTGGAAGAAGTGTGTCGACCACAAGGTGGTGGGGGGTTATGTTGAAAAATGATCCCTGTTTGGACATATTTCATGAGAGTATCTTGGTCAGCCTCTGGACTTTTCTGTCGATCCTCGTATAATAATCGATATCTCATCCCAGTAACTGTGACAATTGTGCCTCTTTTCCTTGCAAATTTCGGTTACATCACGGTGAAACAACAGTTCGCGTATGATCACTGAAGTTAAGCAACGTCGAGACTGGCCAATGACTAGATAGGTGACCGCTTGGGAATTTCCAGATGTTGTAAGCATGTATATCTATGTGGTGTAATGAATAATAACTAGAAAATATTAATTAGTGTGCCGTGTTCTAATTCCCGTTGGGTTCATTATATTCACTTCACCGTTGAGAAAGATATGAATCCACCACTTCTCCCTCCAGCTATGGGTTAATTAGTAAGACTTGTATCTGTAAATCATTATTAACTCAAAAAATTCTTAAAATGTAAAACTATTTTCTGACTTTAAAAAGCCGTCAAAGGATTGCTAGACCGTAAAAAACGAATCAAGCAATCAATCTATACACACTAAATCGTGAGGTATGTTACTCTTTACTTTTCTCTGTCACTTTCACCTTTAATATGCTCTTTGAATGTTATATTTGTAAAGCCTTTTTTTCTCAATATCTGCACCCAAAATTTCGATTGTCTCATTTTTCTTCTTGCTACAAGTGCCCTTTTTTTCATTTTCGTTAAAACTTACGAGTTGCTCCATCCATTGTATTCTCAGCATCCTTCTGTAAAACTACATATTTTCTTACCTCAAGTATTCTCTTTATCTGTGAAGAAAATCAGACTAATGTGTTTGTGAGTTCGTAGACAAAGACTTAGTCGGCGGCTGCTGGCTGTCATCCCTTCCAGTATGTGTGCGTGTGTGTGTGTGTGTGTGTATCTGTGTGTGTGTGTGTGTGTGTGTGTACACACGGGTAGATCAAACCAGCCTCCGAAATTGTTTTGAGCCCCGACAGTACAACTATCAGTACAAGTATCAATCTTTCTTCTAGTTTCGTTAAAACATCCGAGTTAACCCATCTATGATATTCTCAGCATCCTCCTGTAGAACGACATATTTTGTTACCTTAAGAATTCTCTTAGGAAATTGTTCTACGGGACGGCAAAAGTAGGTATGGTTTAGTTTGTTTTTTGTTTTACGGCATATCAACCTCAATGGGTTGTTTAATGCCGACAAAATTTTTATTGCTGGTAATGTTTTTCTTCAAAAATCTATTTCTGGAAATATTTTTCCTTAAAGAAATCTATAGCTGGTTATATTTTTTTCAAAAGAATGTATAGCTGTTTGTATTGCTGGTATTTTTTTTTAAGTATTGTTTATAATAATTTTTCCTTCAAAAATTATTGCTGGTAATAATTGTTTTTATTACAAAGTATTTCTGGTATTAAAACCTATTTTTAGACAAGTTTGGGTCTTAACTATTTGCCCATAGCTAGGACCCTAACAGGTGCTACAACCCCGGATCAAGGTGGACCTGGGAACGCCAGCAATTAAGAAGTGGTTCCACGTTCTTCAGAACCTCCTGATCAGAGGCCTTGTTGTTGGAAGTAGTTTAACGTCTTAACCAGGACGCGGATGTAGTTTATCGTCATACCCAGGACGGAAAAGTATGGAGTAGGTAAATTAATACAATACGTAAAAGTTAGTAATCAATACAATACGTTTTGTGTGCACGTTTTGTTTTTCATTACGGAATATCTACTATTGCTCCCCCCCTATATAGGTATTTACCAGTGCACCGACCACACAACTAGATATGACACAAGGTCAGCTTATAATGGGTTTATCCGCCGTACTGTGTAAAAAAATTCCCAAACCCACTCGGCACTTCCCTTTTGAGGACGTCTCAGGCGCCAGGCAATAAACAGTAGTGAAACAAACTTGAAATTGGAACTAAAACGGTGGACGAAATAAAGAGTTCAGTTCGAAACTGCAATCACCCGAAGGAAGGAAGGACACGGTAAGAATTTGGCACTGAAGTTGGCGATAACAGTCCGAATAATGTAAATAATCACAGACACATGGCACAGTGGATAAAGGCGTTGGTTAGATCCAGTGACAGGACCCAAAGAGTTCTGAGTTCAATACCCGGTTAAGGCAGTGGAGAACTTGGAGAGGGAAATTAACAGGAGATAAAGGATAACATTAAAAAAAGAAAAGAAAAAACATGGCACGTGGAAATAGAACAGTCTAGTGAGGGTTCAGTTTGGCATTTCAACCGCCTGAAGAAGGGGGGAGCGTACAACAGCCGAAACGTTGTAATAAATATGGCGACAAAGATGAGGACAGTAGTCCGAATAATGTAAATAGTATATATATATATATATATATAAAGGAGGCACGGTGGAGTAATGGGTATATATATATATATATATATATATATTATATATAAAATATATGAAAAAATTCCTACGCTACATAAGAGTTCTCATGTTTCAAAAACGAGAGCCGAAGCCATCCAAATAATTATTAAAATTAAGTTGAATTGTGGTGTTTAGTCCCGTTTCATCTTCAAGCGAAATTTTAGGAATAAGCTATCTCTCGGTTTACGTGTGTTTTTAGGCACGGTCCGTTACAGAATTCGTTATTGTGGGAGTGGCTAGACTATTTTCCTTCGTTAAGTGGTCAGAGAGTTAATTCTTATCAATAGATTCATCATCTTCTGAGAGGTTTTGCTAAGGTTGGGTAGGGTATCTATTTCTAGGCTAATGTTTGCGGTCATCCTTTAGTTGGTTCCCAGTGAGGGATATTTTTATGGCACGCCTACAAGTCGTTATGCGTCGGGAGGATTGTGTTTTATTATTGTCCATCTGATTTTCTATTTATTTATTTGTTTATTCAAGTGGGTGTTTTATATACAAATCGTATTGCACTGAATTTCAATTTGTTTATTTTTTGTTTTTTGACGACTACAGAAAGGGTTTTTCCTATTTAATGATTTGGCTAAGCTTTTAAGACTTTTATTTAGCTATAGGATTTTTTTTATGCTAATTATTTAATGCGAAAGTTTGTTGATGTAGGCAAAAAAACGTTAACTCCTGCCTATGGTTTAATAATTTTTCATTATTTAGAAATTTTAGTGTAGTTTTTCCTGTAGGCATAAAGGGCATGGGTCATCCCAGGTTTTACAAGTTCTTGTTTTATTTACTATTTTCCATTTTACTTTTGGTGTTTTATTCGTTTCTTTTAGATGCCAGAAATATTGGGATAGAGATGTCTGATTTCTATTTTGAATATTGTTCAAGGAGCTCTTGTGTTGCCTCCATCTAATTTTAAAATTATTCTTCGTTGAGACTATGTATATCCTATCAGTGTTAGGACTCTCAATTCTCCATCTGGAAGTGTGTATTTTTTCGATTTTATAGAATAAAGCCTCATTGTCCTCGACCTATTTCCGGTTCTGATTCTGCTACAAGCTCTTTTTTATTAAAATCTTAATTAGAATCTCGTTTGAATAAAAACAGCAAAATAATAATAATAATATTAATAATAATAATAATAATAATAATGAGATTTGAGCGCGTTAAATAATGTTTAATCTAAACTAATCTAAATCTAAATTAAATAACTTCCAGATCTCTTATGAAAACGTTGATTTTTCTTAGGTCAGAGTTTGAAAAATGCTTAGTGTAATTAGGTACCCCATGATGATTGACGATATTACACAAAGAATATATTGTCTGATCCTGTACAGGCGTAAAACTAGTTGCAGAACATAGAATTTTTATTTTTATGGCATTTGGAATTCATATTGACTTTGAAAAAGCGCGTGATTAGTGTGACGTTCTGATTCTTTATGTTGTCAGCAATTTAGGTCGAATTGTATTGATTTTTAGTTGGCTATCGTAAAAGGGAGGATTTTTATTAAAACGAACGTCGAAGCGGCAGAAATATCGGGGAAAAATTACCTTTAAAATTGATGCACAGAGTAATTTTATATGAATTCTTTCACGTATACATTTAAATTCATTCTATTTACATATGTGTGCTTGAAAGTGAAAGAGAGAGAAAGAGAGAAATGTCATTTATATGAGGGTAAATCAATAAATCCGTAGCTTAGCACATAGTTGTTGAATTTGAATCTAGAAGTTTCACTGTATAATGTGTTTGATTAATATTCGCAACT